TTATCATATTAAAACCAAATATAAGAAAATAGGTGATAGCGTTATTGACATTCAATTTCATTCAAACTTTTATATATTTAGGAGTTGCAGTGATGGTAATAAATTTGAATGTGAGATTCTGGAAATTTTAATAATTAGGAGATATATAAATGTAGTTAACTATTTTAATTAAGAAATAAAATGTTTTGTTATTTATATTTAAATAGTATTTTATTTTAAAAGATAGTTTTGGATATTGTTATATACTAGATATATTTACAAATTTAAAAGATATCTCGAGATATTATTAGATATTATTGTTAGATAATAATAAAAAAAATACTATTTGGAGACGTATTAGAATCAATTATAATATAGATAGTTTTATTTTAATATATTTTAAAAATATTGAGCTTTTGTAAAGGTTTAGAAAAATAAACCCAATGGGGTGGGCATGCGTCCTATTTATGTTGGATTAATATAGAAACCCTAGCTATCATGAAAAAGAGACAAAAAACCCTATTATAACCGTGAAAGAGGTGTGAGAGGACGACATTATATTTTGTCAAGGGAGAATCCTAGGAGCCAAACGATTAGGAGGGCTTAGAAGATTTAAAACACTTTGTTGGATTAGAGATAAGGGGAGCTAACTTTCAATATATATGTTTGAGTAATTATGTGTGAGTGTATAAATATTTTGTTTGTGTGTGTCGTAAAGCTGAGGGCATGTATCATGTGTAAAGTGTCATTTGTTTTGTTGAGTTATGTTGTATTTAAAATTTATTATGAATGATTTTTAAGATTTTAGATGTTCCATGAACATGAGACACAATTTTGTATTTTATATGTTGCCGTCCTATTTTATAGGATGTCGTAATATTTTTATGTGATGCTTTGGTGTTGCATATGAAGCCGTAGTATTTTTATATGGTATCATGGTATTTTATAGGAAGCCGTAGTAATTTTATATGATGTTTTGGTGTTGTATATGAAGCCGTAATATTTTATATGTTGTTGTGGTATTTTATAGGAAGTTGTAGTATTTTTATATGATGCTTTGATGTTGTATATGAAGTTGTAATATTTTATATGGTATCATGGTATTTTATAGGAAGCCATAGTATTTTTCTATGATGTTTCCCAAATGCATGGTGGTGTTAGATAATTGGTGCCCGTTTTGAAAGTGTTCCTAGGAAATCGATAATGACTGCAATGTTGTGAGCCTATGTGCCATGATGTGTGTTGGTTGTAGGGACATTTATATGGTGAGTTGTAATGGTTAAATGCATGATCCTTAATGTTGTTCTTACATGGTGTAGTTGCAAAGTTAATTGGATTATGTGTCAAGTGGAACATGAGTTGGTTGAGTTGTTGTTTTCCATAAGGGTTGTTTGATAACCATGCTAGTGGGTGACTATGAATTCTATGTTTTCCTACATACTCAATGGCAGATGACGCGAGGAAGTCCTACGTTGGTGCATAGGCCTTGTTTTGGTAAACAGGAAAGTCCCTGTTGGTGCGTAGGCCCTGTTTAGATGAACAGGTCATTTGTGCTGGAATACGAAAAAAGAAATATGGCAATAGTGATTTGGAGTGGTCGCATTGTTTGTATGGGTTGGAGTTTGATTAACAATGTGTTATTGTGCTGTGAATTTGATTTAAGTAGGAGTGTTATGAGCTTATACTTTAATTGATAATTGTATTATTATAATTATATCATTATCATTTGATTTTTATGTTGATTTTGTTAGCTCACCCTTGCATTTGTGGAGGTGGTTTTCACCTACGATGATCATATTTATACGAGAGAAAATGATATTACATAATATGTTGTTAATGATGTTGATGTGGCGTAGAACGAGAGACTAGTGTGGACTTATTTTTGAGATTTTCAAAATATTGTTCTTTTTTATTTAAACAAATTATGCTGAGGAGTTTTAGTATGTTATTTCAAGTTGTAATTGGATTAATTATTATTCCCGCATGTTTTTATTTATTTTCACGATAACATAATAAAGCTTAAAATTTTCACTATATTTTGATGGTATCAGATTATTATTTTTTGTAAATAATGGACGTTATTTTACTCACACGTGACATCTTAAATTGGGGTGTTACATCATGCACCAACACTTCAAAAGATAACTCTTAGGCTATAACAACCATGTTCTTCTTCTTCTTGTTGTGAAAGAAATTGGAGTACCTGCTATTCTTTGAAAAGAATAAGACGACACTTAAAAGGGTGGAGGATTTATTATTTGTATACAATAATCTTCGTCTTCTCTTAAGAAACTCCTTAAATACCAAAAATATAAAACTAAATTATGGGGTTTTGCAAGAGATGACTTTTCATTAGATGACAACATAATTCTTGATATTGTCAGCTTATCGGTTGATGAATCAGAATTAAAAGTTGTATTTTTCAATGAGAATGAACACATATAAGAGTCGAACACACTAATTTACAATAAATTTTTTTGTTTGACTTTCTTTTATAAATGTTTTTCTTAATTTTTTAAATATGAAGTACATTTTAATAGATACATTGTTGAATTATATGTTCTATATTTTTTAATCATATTTCCATATCGGTATCCATGTTTGTGCTTCATAGATCATAAAATCCATTATAGAAAGCCATTGTTAACATCTGATATATTTTCTTGAAGTTTACTTGGCAAAAGGTAGACTTGAGATGGGTCCCACCTAACTAGGCCTAAGGTAAACCAGACTTAATTCAGCCAAAGGTGGGCTTGAGTAAACTTGTGAGCCTAATTCTACATAATCCGGTGTGGGCTTTTTAAGACTTGGTCAAACATGGGTTTGACTTGATATAACTTAACTCGATTTGACTCATACTCGACTAACCTTAGTCCAAGTGGATATAACTCAACTCGACTTGAGGTGCATGACTCAATTAAGTCAAAGGTGGGCCTGACTCAATTTAGCTTGAAGTGGATCTAAACTGACTCAACATAGTCCAAGGTGAACCTAACTTGACTTATCATGATGTGGGCTTAACTTGACTCAATCTAAATTGAGTCCAACTCTACTTCATCTGATGTGGACCCAACTTAATTGGGCCCAACATGTGTTCAACTTGACTTGATTAGGGTTGAATTGGTCGTACTCAACTTAGGCGAAGGTGCGTTTGTTTTGCCTTGGCTCAACGTGCACCCAACTCAACTCAACCTCGTATGGGTCAACTCAACTAGACCTTTTGCGGGCCTAACTAGATTATGTGCAATGTGGACTCGATTCAACTAAATATGATGTAGAATATCATGTACTATATGCTCAATCATGAAGTGTATCCTATTATGTACTATAGGCTACGATTTTTAGTTATAGTCTTAAGATTTTCCTTTTTTACTATGCTTGAATATACTATGATTCATTAATTGTAGTTTAACATTGAAAATAACTGCAGTCATATCTCTTTATTGCACTAGTGACTTTATCAACCTTAGTTTGACTTGGACGCAGACTGACTTGGACCTAATCTGAATGACCTACAAGACTCGCGCCTAATCCAACTTTGTCTATCTTGACCAAAGATCAACTCACATAGACTGACTCATAGGACCTTTTTTATGATTTTGGTCTAGTGAGTTTTCTTGGTCCCAAGATATGGGTCAAGGTTAAGTCCTATGCATTTGACTAAATTGACAAGTTTAACTGACTTGATTATGATTAATTTGAACTAGATTCAACTCAATATAGTGTGGACTTTATCAACTTTGGTTTGACTTTGACTCATAAGATTTTTTTTTTGTTATTTTGGTCCTATGGGTTTTTTTTTATGTGGATTTTCATATGGATCAAGACCAAACACTATATGTTTGACCTAGTGCTCTCAAAATGAGTTAAAACCTGCGGGCCAACCCGGTCCACCACAGGTTCGAGTCGGGTTAAATTTAAAAAACAAAAAATATTTTTAAATGGGTCAATTTTTAATCCGGTTCACTTAGAACTTGGTTCATCAACCCGTGGTGAGTCGGTTTGGAACCTAATGTATTGACATGACTAATTATTAACACCTAATCTATTTTCTTGAAAGATACTTTCTTCTGGTTCACAACATTTAACTCTGTTGATTTAAACCAACCAAACGTTTCATATCATGGCATAAATATTTGAAAACACACAAATACAAAGATAACGTTACATAGTTCTAAAGATGAGGAGTTTAGATATCACACATGGCTCCTGATGGATGAGCTATACCCACTCTCAGCATCATAATACCTAGACCACAACATAACACCTCCATATTTAGCAGAACCCTTAATGGCTGGAAGCACATTAGAAAGAAGATCCGCAGAAGGAATGAAGCCACTCCCTGCAGCCTGTGGGGAAGCTGGCAACCCCAAGAATATCTTGTTGGCAGGGATACCTGAAATCCACTGCTTCCATGCATCTTCGAGGTTAGTGATTGCCCCAGAAGTGTATTGGCAAGGAGGGTTGTTGTAGAATTGGACCCACACATAGTCAAAAAGCCCTGTAGTGAGAGCATTTCCTATCCAAGCATCAGGAAAAGGGCACTGAGGAGCTGCAGTGATGTAGACTTGCTTGCCTTGCTTGGCCATGGCGTAGCCTTTAAGGAACCTGGCAAGATCACCCCAATGTTGGTTTGATCCACCTTCAATGTCAAAGTCAACGCCATCAAGAACAGCAGGGCCAAGAGGCCGAGATGAGGACTGTCCCCCCAAGAAGTTGTTCCAAAGGTAACTGGCTATGTGGCTTGCATCTTCAGTGGATGCAATTGAATAGCTTCCAGCACCTCCTCCTAAAGACAGCAACACCTTGATGCCTTTGGCTTGACAAGATTTTATGTCTGAACTTAACCCAGTGCACCCATCACTGTACGGATCGCAGTGACCAGCAAGATTAATCATGGGAGTTTGTCCATTGCCAAAGGTTGGCAAAAAGGCTAAGATCAAATAATCATAGTTCCCTGTCGCACAAGCCTCGCTCAGCGTCCCCTCGTTGCCATTCTGGCCCCAGTAGATTGCTATTTCTCCACCATAACAACCATTTCCTACTGCTAACAACACTAAGCACAACAAAGGAACTGACATTGCTGATGATTTAAATGCCATTGTGAAGGGGCCAATAATTCTTTTGAAAAGGTAAAAGATTTAGGCTGCTTCTTTGCCAACTGCTTCTTGGGACCAACGGCTTTTATAGAGTTCATATATGTTTCAATCCTTTCAAAATAAACTCTGGGGATTTTCTCAATAGAGCGTGCCTTGTCAGTTGCCAGTAATGTCTATTATAATAATTATTGATACTGACTTCATAAAAGCACCGTGCAAATTTACCTATCTTGCCAATTCTAATATCTTCTTCAACTTGATTGTTCAGTGCTTTCCAAAACTTCATTCACTATCCTCCACTTCCAAACATGATAAACTAAAATAGCGGTCAAGTGTACGAAGCCTGCTAGAAAATAAGTATTTTTTTTTGTTGTTGTCATAAATGGTGCAGTGTTTCTTACTATCTGATAGTCGTCCATTTTAGTGCTTCTGCATTGGCTTTAAAATGGTAACATACAAATGGCAACCCATGTTGGAAATTTATTGTTGATAGGTGTTACCAAGAATTATCTCAGAAGCAACAAAAGTCATGACAAAAGATATGTTATAAGGAATATGTTTCTAGTATTTTCTTGATATTATTATAGCTGGCCTTCCATCTGTGCGGAAGGTATAATGAAGATCAAAAGGAAAATAAATTTCTTCGAAAATCTGTGTCCATATAGATTAAAAGCTACGCAGATGTGACGAGTTTACTCAACCTATATTGGCAATAGCGATAATTTTGTGTTCAGATGGTCGAATAATTTCAAAAATTTTAAATATAATGTTCAATCCCTCCTGTATTAGTCAAATATGATTAAAGAAGTTTTGCTCTCTCTATTTCTCCCCTGGCTGTTTAATTTAGCACAGTAATAGAAGGGAGGGTAAATTCTAATGCTAATTCAGTGTTGATGTATATGATTATGAGTGAAAACGGATCCATGGAAGCTTAAAAATGCAGCCATGTTTTTGTTTGTCTTTACTCTGTCGAAAACAACGAAACGAGCGTTTTCAGGACTTATATATAGGAGATATTTTGCATATCTTGACAAGCAACTGTTCTAACATCTCTTTTCAGTTAAAATCATATAGACCTTTCCTTTAGATCCTTTTCCATTTTTTAAATCCTCCATAAATATGTATTAAGTAGCTGTCTTAAAAAAAAGCAAGACCTTTTGGCCTTTTCCTTAAAACTAAAATATTCGCCTTTTGATATAGTGTTGGAAATGCCTTAGCAGTTTAGCTAGGATGTTGTTGATATTAGTTAAGAGCCTAGATATTATTGATTTGTTTTTATTAATGTTTTTTTCTTTAAGAGTAACAACATTAGGGACTTTACTTTTGACTTTTCAAAATGTTTAAGCTTTGTATAAGAAGTAGTAATATGTTGTAATTACGAAGATGTGGTCAAACAGTGCCCTTCCAATATATTCTTTATTATCTTAATCATTGTTATTAAGGACATTATTGGTTTGAAAGACATGAGTGATGCAAAATATTTAAGTCATTCAATATATTATTTTTTAAGAGAAAATTAAAAAGCTTAAATTTATTTCTAAATATATTTTATATTTTATAGAATATATATGCAAGTTAAGCTAAGCAAACTTCAAAAACAAATGGATTTAAACAACACTAAACTAACGTTAGCTTTTAATAAATGAAAATATAAAATATTTACGTTCAACTAGATTAATTATGTGGACTTAATCGAAGTTGACAGAGTTCTTAATGTTAGACATTAATAGAGTGGACTTAACTAATTGAAACTTATAGTTAACTATTTTGAATTGTTTTTAATAAGTAAAAATATTTTGTGTTAATTTAGTATAAGTTTAGTCAACTTTAATTGAAATAAATATTAAAAATAAATAATATTGATTTGGTTTAATTGATGTTAATTTTATTTATTTTTACTATTTATATTTATTTAACTTAATTCAATGGACTAAGACTAATTTTATTTAATTAAATTATAATTAAATAGATCGAAACTAATATAATATATTTTTAATATTTATTTAAATTAATATCAATTTAATAAAAAGTGTAGATTATTTAGTTTAAATATTTAAATTTAAATATGACAAATGTTTTTACTCAACTTTTCTTTCCATTTTTTTATATAAACTCCGTATATTTTATTTACATTTATCTTCTATATTCACACTTATCTTCTAAGGGACATGCTTAAAACTATGGAAGGTACCTAGATAAACTTAAAAGTCATTTTCTTAGAAATTGATTGTATCAATGTTTGCTTAATCCAAAAGAGGGGATGCACTACTTGTATCCAGATGATCGCCATTATTGGAGCTAGAGCAAAAACAGAGGTCGGGAACAAGTAAGAAAAAAATAAATAAATAAATATATATATATATATATATATATATATATATATATATATATATATATATATATATATATATATATATATATATATATATATATATATAAAATCATTCAAGAACAAATTAATTATTTATATATTTATTTAAAGTTATATAACTTTTGTAATTTTTCATGAATATACAATCTTTCAATTCAAAAGCACTTATATTATAATAAAATTATTAAATAACGACTAATTTTTAAGATGAAAAATAATTAATAACTATATACTAATTTATAAATTAAAATTCATTAATATCTAAAATAGTTTCTGGTGTAAATAAAAAATTAAAATTGATTTGGGAATTAGAATTTAAATTAGTTTTTAAGAATTTAGTTATAAAAGAATTAATGTCTGCTAAGTGTACGTGTGTGTGAATGTATATTTACTAAATTTAATGACAAAAAATAAAAAGTGAGAGATAGATTTTGACCGAAGCTAATCATCATGTGTTGAAATCATGAGCAACATGACTGGGGGCTTATGGTTCAACATACTCATACACGTAGATTTGAAAAGATATTGTCCGCATTGGTCATGTTTTCACGGATTACTTTTGATACCATTTTAAAAAATCTCTTATCAATGAAGATATCTTATGTGTATATAAATTCATGTTCATCTCTTATTTTTTCTTACGTGAAATTTTGTTTGTATCCAACGTGTGAACTTAGGACACTGCATCCATCACTATAAGGCTCGCAGTCACCACCCAGATTCATCTTTGGAGTTTGCTCATTGCTAACGCTTTGCCATAATCAATCATAGTTCCCTGTGGCACAAGCCTCCCCCAATGTACACCCTCCTTACCATTTGCAACTATGTTTTTATTAGAATCAATTCCTAACATTGCTGATTTCAATGCCTTGGCGAAGAGTGAAAAATCTAATGAATCTTCTTCAGATTGTCACAGATATTGGTGGGGAGAGAATGACTTGATATAATAATGATTGATGCTAACTTCATGGAAAAAGGAACAAATTTAACAATATCTTGGCAACTCTGAGATCATCTATTAGCTCTTGTTCAGTGCTTTTCTGATATTTCTTCCACTATCCTCCACTTCTAAGAGTGATAAATTAAAATACACGTCAAACGTAAGAAGCATGTTGGAAAATTCATATTTTTTTTTATGGACGTCAGTGGTGGTGAAGTGATCATAACATATTCACGAATTTGTTACGTTGGTGTGAGTGAGGTCTTATTGATATGCATGAACTTGTTTCTTTGGTTGTCATCACTTTTGAGCTTTTGCACGAACAGTTCGCTACTGACTAAGTGACAAGTAGCAACTCGTGTTGGAAATATTTAATTTTGATATTATCAGCTACTCACTCTTTTATCATTCACATATCCAACTCGTCTAAAATCTAGAGTTTTGGCCTTTATTATACTTCATACATAATCACAACAACTTTCTCTTAAAATCTTTGTCCACGTAATAAAAGCTAAGATTTGGCTTCTTTTTTTCCTATCTGTATATTGGCCGCATGCTGAAACCAAACTGTCTAGGGAAATTGGTCCCGCCAATGAACATTTCAAATTTTGATAATAATGGGTTAAATATTGGATTTTAAAATAATAATAATAATAGAGCAAAACCTAAAATGTCTAGATAAAAATACTTTTCATATTTTAATACATATAATAAGTACGGAAGTTATATGATATTTAAAAGAAATGAGTAAATTTTGTAATTATAAAAAAAATTTAACATTTTGAGAATTTATATATATACTCTCAAAATGTTAATATTTTTTTATGGTAACAAAATTTTAGTCATAAAATTTTGTAAAAAAAAATAGATAACAGTGAAGTTTGTGATGAAGAAACAATTACACAACAATTAATTAAAATATTAAAGTATGCTAATTAATGGAGAGGAATAATAATAATAAATACCAACATTATTCATAAAATAAGACACTAATATATGTTTGTTTATCATTAGACAAACTTTTTTAGATAATCAAATTTCAATTAAATTATATATGGGTCAAGCAAACTCTATTAAAATTATATGTGGATTAGAGTCAAATAAAAATAAAAAAATAAACGTCTATTATTAGTTAATACATCAAAACAATAATGTTCTTAAATATGAATAACAAAGAAATAGAAAGTTAAAAATAGACATCTTTCTACATAGGTTAAGTAAGATAAAATGAATTTGACTAGTTTGTAGTTTTTGGACACACAATTTGGAGTCCAACCCAATATAACTTCCCTCTCATGATTATGTGGAGGTGACTATTAATTTGATGATCTCACAACAAGCTTTAAACTTCTGCTTTGTAGTGTCTTAGTCATCATATCAGTACCATGGTCATTAGTGTGAATATATTCAACTTCAACAACTTAGCAAGCATCATGTATCCAATGATACCTCACATTAATATGTTTGGACCTAGAATAGAAAGTTGGATCCTTATCAAGATGAATAACACTTTGATTGTCCAAAAATAATGGATGGTCGTTCTACATAAAACCAAACTATTGCAAGAATATCTTCAACCATAACAACTCCTTGTATTCTTTTGTAACGATAGCGAACTATACCACTATATATTAGACAATGTTATTCACCTATATAGTCATGATTGTGAAGACACAACTTCCCTAAAAACTT